AGTGGATTGAACAAGACGGACTCTTATTCTAATAAGAGTCTGATCAAGTTACTAAGTTCTCGGGGTGACTACTCTATACAAATGCCTTCTCACACTTAATTTAATGAGTTCCGTTATCTCGAATTATCCACTTTCGTCTGCATATTTGCGAACGATTAACATCGTCAGATTATGGCAAAGCACATTCGGTGAAAATTCAAAAGAACAAGTCGACAAACTCACCGCACGAGGTACGATTGACGTCAAACTCCGAACCATTTCCCACAAGGAGGGTAAGCTGGGAATGCATGTAATCAGACATAAGTTTAACAATTATTCATTCTAGTTACGAAAAAGAGTAAAGTCCAACATACTGTAGCTTTAAATTGTTCGGGTGTGAGTGTCTGATCTCCGGTAACCAAATTTTCCCCTGAGACATAGAAGCCATTTAACAATGAGCAGGAATCGCTTCCGACATTAGTCAGAACACAAGTAAGTGAAAGACTTACCGAAAGTTTTTTTCGGTAGCGGCCTCTAAGTCGTCAGGATCAGTTGAGAGCCAAAGGCTTCCATCTTCCCAAGACATTATGGTTTCTAGGGCTAAAATTACATTTCGCCGTTAGGAAACAGGGACTTTTGCAGTTATATAAAAAAAGAAGTCAGTGTTAAGTTATTTAAAAATGACAGAGCTGCAAAGAATGACTTTTGCTGGAATAGTGTACTTAATGAACCTAATCGAAGCCAAAGGAAACCTCCTGTTAAAGCAAGTATTAACAACGCTAATTCTCAATATCTTGAATTTTGATTTTAAAAAAAATTGAGTGCGATATTATATGCTTGGTTTTGCCAACGAGGACAATAACCAACTCGAAGTCACATGTGCGTAACATATTTATATATTAATGTCCTCTCATTATCACGACTCCCTAGGTAGAAGAATACTGCATGCGGACACATTAAATTTACTCAAATGGCAATCGTTCTCTTTACAATGAAGAGCTATAATGATTTTGGAAGGTATTCACCATTAGTTAGTAGAGCTGAAGGAACCGAAGGGGATATAGGGTAACCACTGCATCAGTCAGAAATGAGCGTATTATGCAAATTATTGCATTAAAAAAGCTATTTAAGCTTAAATGGCTTTCATCACAAGAATTTAGGAAGTGCTGATTTCAACATTAATACAATTTAAAACACCAAGAGCTTGAATTGCACAATTAGAGATAATGAATATTATAACTTTGAGAGTAATTATCAATCATCAAAATCAACCTTAAATGACCAGAAAGATAGAAGCTGACCTTAAGTCATTTGAAATAGGTACCAAGTATTAAAAAGTTAAATGCGTAAGAAAGTATTGCAACAAGAATGACAATAAAATACCTTCATTCGGCTTCTGTCCGACGCTGAACTCAAATTGGGACTGATTAATTCCTTCAGTTGGCTCTTCCAATTTCCTTCCAGACCAAAGAACCCTTCGTTTACCCTTTAGTAGTAAGAAATTTAGCCAAAAATTTGCGAATAAACATAAAAAGATATTAGAACGTAATCAGCTCACCACTTGATTAACTCCAGCGTCAAGTGACTCTAAAACAAAACATTATTACCATCAGCAATCTGGACGGAAATATTTTAAAACTTGTCAATGTTCAAAAACTGATTTTCTCTTAATATAACACACAAAGTTCGGACACAATCTTCAGTCCAAGGGATAATGATGGCACAATAACAAATTTAGTGGTCCGTCGAAAGAGGAAGGACGAAGTGTGTTCACAAACAGTTCTTCCGAGAACAACTAAGATAATCTTGCCTCCTATCTGTTCTACCTCAATTCCTCATCCCACCAAACATAAATAGGAATGGCTCAGAATAAAAATTCATTTTCATAAAGACTAAAATAATGGTTGTGTAAGTCCCAAGTACGGTAATAAGCCAACAATCCAATCAGAGCCAGCATGTTCGCAAAAAATCAAACTAAATACAAATCAAAGCCTCATCATAAGAACACAGTTATATAACCAAATTAACCGAAAGTAAATAATATTAGAAGAGTAAAAGAATCATATCTCCAAACAGGATAATATCAATTAGGGAGTTAGAATGGAACCAAACGACCGATTAATGGAATAATAAATCGATAAAAAATAATAGACAAAGGAACAAACCCGAAACGACACTTGTTACCAACAAAAGAGGCTGCGCTCAACTCAAATGTGGTAGTCGCTGCTGTGGACTGTTCTGAAGTAATAACAAGTTGGCGACGATGTCGAGGAACGATTTCCTTCGCCTTTGTTTGGGAATCAGCTTTTACCGCAGAATTAACTGGGAATGAGGAAGAGGTGACAAAATGATAAATCGACGAAATATAATAAATAACTAAAATTTTTACCACCCTGATCATCATTGACATCAATAGCTGGGGCTACACTGAGCTCAAGAGTTTCATTATTTGTGATATCAAATGAGTTAACCAAATTACGTCGACAGCGAAGGCGTCCTGTGTTTTTCTGAAATAGTTAGCAATATAGGAGGATTGGAAAATGAAATCCGAAAAATAAAAAAATGTAAAATTCACTCTAGATTTACAATTCTTCCTTTTAGTGTGTTGATTTTCTAAATCAAAATAATATAGAATGAAATATTTGAATATATTTGAAATCCGAATGCAAAGGTATGAAGCTTATAATATTACCACTATTTTTCGGTAATATTATATTAGTAGCACCTAATTCCACCGAGGTTTCGATTTCCTATATTTACAATAAATTTTAAAACTAAACATACTGCACTTGGGTGAGTGAATATTGATTCAACACGATGGTTTGACCAAGCAGAATCACGTACTAAAAATATTAAAAAATGATTTAAGTACCTTCTTTCGGTGTGCTCTCTTCCACAGTGGAATCTTCGCATATGGCATCAAAAATGCATTTTCTTGACATGATAATTAAAAACTACTCCCAATTGAATTGAATCAAGCGCTTTTGAAAGCATAATTATATACGCGATCGCGAAGAACCAGGGCTTACTTTTCGATAAATACAGTGGTTTTCAAATAACTCGAAAAATATGTAAATAACTGAAATTTGTTAAATTAGTATCAGTTGTTTCAGAAATGCATATTGTTATTACATACATTATTTCATGTTTCACTTTTGATCAAATTACATTCTCAAATATTTTTCAACATTCACATATATATTTTTGCTAAATTAAATTTCATTTTTTGTGATTGTTTACACTATTAACGTAAAATAAGTCCCAAGAAAATTAATTTTTAATTTCCAGCTTTCCTTTTTATAAAGATTTCTCTCTTGTTACACTGTATTAATCATGCTTCCCAAGTGTAGATATCGATTCCGTTTACTAATATATCATGCACATATGTTAGTATTACATATCCAATTTCTGATATTAAGGCCAAACGGCAGAATATAACTATTTATATAAATTATGTTGATATTTCAATACTACTGTATAAAAATTTTAAATGCAAAATAAATGAAAAAGTAGAACCCAAAGTAAGTGTGAGAGGAAAATTATTATGTTAACTTATAATTGAATGCGGGCAATTATAAGGCAATATATTGGAATCTCCGACATTATGAATTCAGTTGAAAGCTTGAATTAAAGAAGGACATTTATGAAAAAGTGTGCCATGATAGCTTAGTTTCCACTTTCCTTGACATGCTTTTGCTGCCGATGGTAATACTAGCAATGACTGGTTTGTGACCAGAACCAGGATTGTCAATTATTTTGCGGCGTGTATGCTCACTGATGTCGCTTGAAGCCAGGAGTAAGTCAGAAGTTGTTCTGGTTCCATTGTAGTGCAAATATGTAGCCGGATCCTCATTGCTGTAAATAAGTTCCAGAGGGTTGCTCTTTAACATGTCTTCGATTTCCTTTCCAGCTATGTTTGTATCCTTGTAGCCCCATCTGGTGGAATGGGCGTTGAAGTTTTGTGTGAGATGTTCAGAAAGTCAAAGTTGGGACGATTCTGGGGTTGATTATAGACTGCGAATACCTTGAAGTGGTTTTGACATTTCCAAACATTTAATCTGATTATTTCGCATATGTCTTGTGTCGAGCCCATACTCTTGATTAGATCGTAGTGTGAGGTGAGGCATTCTTTTACTCCAGTCACAATTCCACTTGCAACTTGCCGTATTTAGGTAGAAGGTACAGGGCGTTACCTGGGAATTGGTAGTATTTCAGTTTGTCATCCGAAATGTTTGCTTCCATAATTGTGAACAGTTTGTCATCCGAAATGTTTGCTTCCATAATTGTGAAAATGTTTACATCATAGGTTTGTAGGATTTTATGGACTTGGATCTTATTGTCGTGTGACATCCCTCCAGGATTCCACTGGAGGATCTGAAGACGTTGTGATTCGCCCTGACGAGGGCGATTTACCCTTTTTAAAGCTTATCATAATAAATCGAAGTCAAAAACGAATGCCGAGTGATAGACTTTTTTGCCGTAAGAAAATACGTTGTCTATGGTGCACCACGTGGAGGTAAGTCTATCGCGCTCCCCCGAGTAAATTATTAATTTTATTGAAAAGTGGACAAATCATTCAGAAGGATGTTTTGGTTCACTTCGCGATCTACCCTTCTAGCTCAACGCACTATTGTGTAAAGTTACCATCTCTTTCTGATTTCGACAAACTTCGATTGGTACTCAGCTTGCTGTTCGCAGATTTAAAGCTAGTCAACAAAGATCACTGTTCCGATGGGACTTTGCAGTTTAGAACCGATCTATTATTCACGTTAATGTGTTATTGATTAAATAACTAACTACTAGCATGCAGCTTTATTGAGGCCATAAATGTTAAAATTTGTTCGAACTATATTTCACGCTCTCTAATCAAACACTTAATACACTAACCCTACCCATGCAACCAGTAATACAAGTCTAGCACCATATTTACCAAACCATTACAATTAGCAGAATTTTAGAAATATAAAAATTTACACTTTACATCGAACGATAAAATGGAAGTAAATTTATAGGAGTACTGTCTAATGTTTTAACTGAGATATGACCCAAGAAAACAGCTGGCTGTCTGGTGAATGAGCGCTGGAGCTCACAGAATGTCTCGCCAAAACTGAACGACTCAATCGAACAGCCGAGGCCCGAGGAGGAGTAAACGAATTAGGAACAGCGCGTGATAGATCTGAAACAAAAGATTCAGTAAAGCTTTCATAACAGATATATTCTGTTCTTACATTATAGCTATCTTCTTACCAGGAGCTTGTCGTGAAGCGATAATGGGGACTTTCCCTGTCTCAGGTGTCGATTCAGCGAGGGGACCTTAATAAAAATAAGGAAATATAACACCGAGGTACGCAATTTATCAGACAAAAAATTAAGCACAGTTTCTTCTTCACACATGGCCTATAAGCACATTTCAAATAGAACGAATATACGGCACCAAATGAAAAGGCAAGAATAATTAGGTTAGTCTATTAAGTTGTAGTTATATTACGGTGAGAAAGACTTTAGATTATCTATTATTCCGGGGTTCGCAATTCGCAAGTACTAAATATATAAAATCAGTTTGCTTAAAACACGATCTTCTTTTTCTCTCTTAACCCAGGTACCCGCGACACAACCTGCGATTTCTAATCTTTGCATTTTAAATTTAATTAATTATATGTGGATCTCAGCTGAATCAACTCAGCCTCAATATCGCCAGCATAACAATTGGGACACCTCTTAATCTACAACGAATTTAATCTGGCGTCGTTAACATCACACGATCTAATCCACCCAATCTCTCCATAACCAGCTTGATAACACTTGGTCAGGTCATTTCCAACACCACCTCCACACGTATTTGCTGTCATATATATTTAACTACTTCAGGCTCACATCACCCGACTTCCCCTATACCTGTTCATCTTTTGTCGGTGCTAATCCTTTTCATTCAAGCCGAAACTTCTCTCTTCTGACAACTACGACAAATGATACTCCACCCGATGAACTGCAAGAATAAGCACCCATTTAACACATCTAATCATACTCATCTCTGCCTTTCACCTAGTTTAGGCGATATCGGAGAAGCAACATACCTTTTTACAGCTTCCCACAACGTACCACAATCCATCTGGGACGATATACGTCGACCACCACTCAGGTATATCACTAACGGGTGAATCTATTCCATTCAAATACATCTGAGGGCAAACATGTATGATTTTATAACATCAACTTCAATAGTAATTACTGTCTAAGACTCACCACTATCCGAAGGGAATGGAAGCGAACGACGCCTCTTCATTCGTTCGTAATTTCGTAGAATAAGATCAAATTGAGCCACGGCGGCTACCCTGTCCTTCTTCTCCTCCTTCTCAACATTCAATTCTGAAATTGAAAATTCGGACACTTTCAAAACAAAATCAGCGTACTGCTTAAATTCGTAGTTTCCCAAGATCTCTATTGAAAGAGAGACTAATTTTTCGGTTGAATTGGAAGCAACGCAATACTAGAGAACTAAAGCTACTGGAAACTGAACACAATGGAAGCAAGGACATTGATAAATATTAGACCAAAATAATAGTATGATACAGGTGAGCTAAAGCATTTTATAAATAGAAAAGAGAAGTTATAAATAATAAAGGTAATATGGAAAGAAAATAAGAAACTAAAAACTTAGGTTGCTCGAAATTCTATTTCTTTTATGTCTTATTTGAGCGTCATCATCTTCAACAGGGTCTCGTCTTGATTTTATATTTTCTACTATTGAAAATATGGAATAAAGAAAAATTAAAGATATTTACCAAAATAAGGTGCGCATGGAGATCTTTTTCTTTTAACAAGGAGATTAGAATACTCGCACTGTTTATTTGTTGGATCCACATTATTACCAAAAATAAATTGGGAGGTTGATTCAATTAAAATAGTTTGTACAGATTGCGAACTATTGGACTGACTAGTCAAAAGACATTTATCAATATAGTAATCCAATTCTTCGCCTTCCGAGTCATCAACTTCCATTGCTCCATACTAAACACGCTATAAGATTTCATAATAAGTAATACCTTCTCAATTACTGCAGAAAATGTCGGGAAAAATTCTTTGAAATCCATACCATATAATGTAAAGCTTGTCAAACCTAAAGATCGAAAATTACCCGATTGAAAGGATTATACTATGGATAAAAACCTTTAGGGAAGGCAAACACACGAACCACCAAACAAACAATTACTGCACTTCGTATGACGAGCACTTAGCAAGGTCTTGTATTCTAATTTTAAAGTTACTCAGTTAAATTGTAATAATTTTACTTTCATTACGACTAATTATTTGAATATGAAGTCGTCTATTCAATAAAATTAAACTAACTTTGTATAAATTATGTTTTAGCTTTGTGTCTCTATGCAAAACCGTTTAAAATAATCTACAATAATTTGAATCTTCCTTACCATGTTTAGTATACTTCGTTTCATATTCTTTAAAACCATTTAATTTTTTCTTATTGCCAGTTGACTTATTTGCTAACTACGCTGTGGAACTTCATTTTGTCTGCTTAATTATTATTAAGTAACAAATATTACATCGACTTGCTCGTAGATGTTCAATTCTATGAATGTTTGTATTTATTGCAGTAAAATGTAATTGTGGTTTTAGGACACTTATAAAAAATATATTTGGCCCATCTACGTTTCCTCCCAACGCTTACACGGCCGAATGCAATAAGGTCAAAAAGTTGAATTTGTTTATTAAAATGGAAACGCATACACAAAACATGTTCGAACTGACAATTTGGACACATTTATTTTCTTCTTTAGCTCTTTAACTAAAAAGTAGAAAGGCATGCGGTTAGACTCAAAGAGTAACCTTGCGCATAATAATAAACAAGGGACTCACAATTCTATCAAAAGTAGCATCAAAAAGTCCCGATGACGCCTCTTGGATAGGATTCACTGGAGCAACTAGTCCTCGAGCAGTGTCATCGCCTGGAGAAGCCTTGCGTTTCAAACGATGCTGTGGAAATGACGGCATCATCTCTGGTTCACAAGCTTTACCGAGAGAGAACGAGAGACCAGCAGATAAAATATTTTACATCAGTTCATTGAGTTATAGTAGGATGTTTCGAAGAATTGGAATGAATAGGATGTGAGCTACCGCACAGTGAACGGAAAGTAACTTTCTATCAAGATTCCCAGATGTTTAAAATCGCGCAAAATAAAGTTTATTCTTCGGGAGCAACAAGATGATGATTGAGAATTAGAGACATATGCTCAAGAACTATTCT